TCCAAATAGCTCGATTAAAGCAAGCTCTCGGATCTGTCTCCGGGACTCCCGTGAGATTATATCGCAGCTGATTATTCTTCTGTACGTCTATCACTCGAGACACCTTCTTCGCTGGCATCTTCAGTATTTTTCTCTCTGGGGACTCAGAACTCCCCATTGGTGTCGTGTCATTAACTCCCTCTCTGTTCATCACGCTTCGAGAGAGTCGTACTCTGCCCGCATCGTCGATTGTTTCATAGGGTGCAGTCACCCCGGAACCTTGTGCATTCTTATTGGCGACTAGTCGTCCAGCTGTCTCTATCAGCCTCTTCACCGTTTGTTCCACGACTGGATCACCCAAGGTGTCACTAGGGTCCGGGATCGTCATTCGACCTGTTGCTGCCGGGAGTCGTGTTTCCGTCGTCTGGCTCATCTCTCGAGGCGTCAAGAGCTCCATCGGGGACTGCCCACGAGGATCACTCCTTGCAGGAATCACCTTCTCCACGGCTGTTTTCAACGCTATCCGTTCCTTGTATTCCCGCCTCAAGCGCTCTATCTCTTCGCTCTGCTTTTTGCTGCAGTCCTCGAACAACCTCTTCCACATATACCGATCTTCCTCCGTGCTGAGCATGGTCTTGGTCATCTCATCTAACTCCTTTCTCGTCCTTTCCAGTTCGTCTTCTATTCCATCCAGGTCTTGCATGGCTCGGTCCGTCTGAACCCCTCGTTCTACTTTCGCCCTCTTCTGTGGCACAGCTGCTCTCAGTTGTGAACTAGACGAGGCAGCCTCGCTGTTCATCTCCCGATGCATTCTCGTCAGCCCAGGTTTGGGCTTATAGGGAATGGGCATCTCACCTGGTTGATAAGTCCTAGAACTTCCCAAATCAGGTTCATTCGCCAAGTCACTCCCTGAGAGAGCCCTGTTTCTCCACCTCATCACTCTCATATTCGGGCGGTCTAGTACTCCCCTTTCTTCATATGCTGCCATCAATAGGACTTCCGTGGGGCGGTCCCCACGGTTGTCATGCCCCAAGATGTTTATCAGGGCGGTCAGCAACATGACTACCTCTGGGTGCTCCAGAGCGAAGTCTCATTCCGTCAGCCGACGATAGATCGCATCTACCATCGGTCCCACATATGCCTCTGCCAGGTCCATTATTTCGTCCAAGTTGAAATTGTACATTCTTTTCATCAAGTTCGATTCGGTTTGATTCAAAGGTTTGACTCAAGTGAGTAATTAAACGATCAATCAGGATCTAGAAAAAAAGGTTCACGAATATCACACTTGTCAGTTTCGCCTTAACTTTTCGTTAAAATTCATTTAAAAACAGTCAGATAAAAAGATTCTGTTCTAAAAATTAATTAACATCAATCGGTGTCTAAAATTTTGGAATTCGACTTAAGATTGGACAGTCCAAACTTTGGATCTATTCCTAAGATCGTCATCCAGTTGTTCATGGTCACTAACCCCTTCTTACCCGAGATCTTAATAACATAACACATAACATAACATAACACATAACATAACATAATACACATATCACACACCACATAACTTAGTCTTTAGCCTATCACCCTCCTACACGTCACTCAGCCTATACTTAAGTAATATTTTTTATGTAGATATACTTGTATATTAGTATCAGAGAATATCACGTGTACAAGCGCGTACAATTCCCTAGGATGCAGTCGTCCTCTGTTCGGATCATACACTGGAAGCGAGAGCTCCTTCACGTTCATTTCCACGACCAAATCTCTCAACCTCGTCAAGGACAAGACTAGGTTCTCCGGGTCCACGTGCTGCTTTTCCGTCGCCCTCGTTACCAAGAAGCATAGGTATTTTCCCGGTATTTGTGACGCCGCCGGAGGTAAGGCTGCTACACCCCCTACTCCTGGTCGCTGCTTCCACAGGAATTCCACGTTTTTGTATTCTCTCTTAAAATCTGCGGCTAACGCTGTCCTAAAACTCATGTCTGCTGTGATTGCTATCGCGCATGTTCTATTTGTGAGTATGAAATCACTGTCTGTTAATATTAGGTTACTTGAATACTCATTTGGTAGGTTAAAATGTGACTCAACTACCCTCCCTTTGTCAGGTTTCCTAGGTTCTTCGCCTTTTTCTGCTTCTAAGTCTCCTGTCTCTCTTGCTATTCTTAATTTTTTTATTATCAGGTTTTCAGTATGGGTAAGTCCTACCCCCACTCCCCGGACAAAAATATCCTTCGACGTCCCCGTCGATCGCATACCGGATATCAAGTCGAGATTAAAAGCCAGAATGAGAAGTTGTCCCTCCTGGGCAGCCCAGGAAGGATCATCCCTTTCGGTCTTGATGTATTTCATGCTTTCACGATCAACGTCTTGAATCGTGACGCTGGTCTCTTTAGGGTCTGATGTCATTTCGTTCAGCCACTCCAAGACTCGCAGATTTGTGAGATCTTCTTCGTAGGACTCCAATTGTTCCTCGTCGAAATCTACTTTGGGTTTCGACCTGTCCTCGATCCATTCCTGTTCGTGATCATCTACTATGCCGATGTCTTGTGAGACTGTTATGCTTTCTAGACCCACTATTTCTTCCACTATCTTTTTCAGATCTATCCTATCTACTACAGAGTCGCCACCGTAACGGTTTTATTTCTTTCTGGGTCTTCTACCGTCGCCTTGTCGAGTCTGCATCGTGAACGGGAGATCTGGTTCCAAATTTTTCGGGAACCTTTGTTTGTTCGGGATCCTGCCAATCTTCCTCCGCGTAAGGTAAGGTTTCATCATCTGCCTCGATCACCTCATTTGGATCCAGGTCCAGTGGTGTGTTTGTTCCCTCCTCTAAGATTTCGTTTCCATCGTTCTTCTCCCTGGTGCCTTTCTCGTTGACTTCACAAGCAGGATCCATCATCAGATAGTCCCCTTCTTCCATGTCTGCGGGTATACACTAATCTTCTGTCGATGGATTGTGTGGCTTAATGTTCTCGAAGTGGGCGGCTCGGCCAGTACTCAGTCTATAAAAGCGTCCCTCCTCGTGCACGTCTGTAATTATGAAGGGTCCCCTCCATATCTATAGGAGCTTTTTCGTCCCTTTCGGTGGTATAACGTTATGAAATACCCATACGTAGTCTCCCACCGAGTAAGCTTTTGCACCAGCTGCTTTCTTGTCGAGTTTTTTCCTCCGCCTTGCCTGTGCTTGCTGAGTAATTCGTCTACACTCCTGTTGACGTCTGATCACATCCCTCACGTAAACCTGTGGAGACGTTTTCTTTCCCTCATACTCTGGGTAGAAAAAGGTTAAGGGTAAAGACTTCTCGTGTCCAGTTAGCATCATGTGTGGACTAATCCCTGTGGTGGAGTGTTGCGTGCTATTATAAGCTCCCATCCCCTGTGGAAGGTATCTGTTCCAATCGGTCATGTACCTGGAACAATATACCCTCAGCATCGACACTAACGTTCTATTCTGTCTTTCGACTAAGCCATTCGTCTGAGGGTGGTATGTCGTGGACTGAGCTTGAGCAACCTGTGAGCGTCTCATAAGCTCTTTGGTAAGCTCTCCTACAAAAGCTGTTCCATTATCCGATTGAAACGTCATCGGACAACCGTGTCTCGCTATCCACGTATTGATCAGGTGGTCGCATGTCTCCTCCGCCGAGGCAGTTATGCAGGGCACGGCCTCTGCATACTTCGTGAAGTGATCTATCATGACCAGGACTTGGTTATAATAGCTGTCTGTCATGCATATCTTCTGGTGATCTATCTGCACCACCTCGTTGAATTCAGACGACTCTATCGATTGTAAGGGAAATCGCAATTTCCTTGGATCCTTGACCTGTTGGCATGACAGGCACGCTGTTATCCTTTTCTCGCATGCCTTTTTCATTCCAGGCCACTTAAAGCGCTTCAGGATCCTCTGATACACTTTGTCGATCCCTTGATCACGGGACCTGAATTATAGTTCTGTCTGATAGAGTTGCGGCAACACTATCGCGTTATACTTGTATAGGAATTTGTCTTTTTCTCTTCTCTTGCAAGCCACAATCCCGTCCTCGTTCAAATTTAACCTCCCCTCCTTCTGCATGAAGTACTGTCTCAGGATACGGTAACTGTCTTCTTCCAGGTCACCTTTGTCTGGTGCACCATTTACTATCCACCTTTTCAGGTTACTTGTCATGCGGTCATTTCTCTGCGCCCTTAAGACACACACCAGCACAATTCATCTCATTGGGCTGGTGTGTGTCTTCCTCCATCTTTACGCACCAAATTTTCGCCAACGGTTGTGTTTCTTGTTTGAACGGCTGAAGATCAGTCCTGACTACCTCTTTTTGCGGCAACAGACTTATCGACCGCTTCGATACCGCTATCGTTTCCAAATCATCCGCTGCGTTGTCAAAGACTCTTTCACTTGGTATGAGGTAGCGATCACTGTCAGGGCCCTGGTACACTTCTCTATCCAGATCCCTTGCACGAGTTTCCACTAGCAGTGTGTGGATCGCTAGTTCTGACATTTCTGATCCCGAGCTCGAGTTCCTGTCTGAGTATGTGTCAATACTTGAATTCCTGGAACTGTCATCTATTGAAGAGTCTGTGATGGAATCTGCACCCTTCTTCAGATCAGGTCCGTACCTTCTTCGCATCCATCTAAACTCCCCGGACAAAACTTTGTTCCCTAGGTCCTGTTTCTTGTCAGGCACTTTTTCATCCATCTCGGACTCCCCGGACATACTTCCTTGTCCCGGATGTTGATCTCGAACTTACCGGTTTATCATACTATTTGTCTCCCCGGACAAACAATCTTGCTCCAGTTTTCTTTCGACCTTCTCACCTTCTCCATCTTGGTCCTCAAAGGTAACGGTTTTTGTTCGCCTATCGTTACACTGCTCTTTCCGACCGTATGAAGTACTCACTAAGACCTCTTGAGATATTGAGGATACTAGTTGCTGAACTATCGACCTACAATCCCTCTCTTTGTCTTTGTGTTGTCATATTGACGGCATGATCTTCACCGTCTCACTGACTGTCAGTGATGCCATGGCTGCTGCCTACTCGTGGTCATCTCTGGTCACTTCTCTCTCTAACAATCCACCCAGCATCCGCATCACTTGCGGTGTGACCTGCACCGTTCTATCCAGTAATGAGAGGCTGTTTATGTTCATGCGAGAGAGTTCCTGCTGGACCAGGTTTGAGCGCAGCAACAGATCCAAAGGCACCGGTCCTTTTTGGATAGGATTTTTATCTCGGCTGCTTTTTCGACAGGTAACTCAGGATGCCCTGGAATTGGATGTCCAGACTTCTCTAACCATCTCGTTAAGGGAAGCGCTTCATAAGTTTCCTTGTCCAGAAACGAGAATCCCTCCTTTATTTCTGCTTGATTGGCTTGCTTCTGCTCCAATCTTTCATAGAACTCAGTTTTCTTACTGAGGTTGTCAGCATTCTGGTGTTTGTCACGCATCCTATGCTCGATTATCATATGGTAGCCATCCAATATTACTATCCATCTACCAATATAACTCTGATCCATCGAGTAGGTCTCCAACCAGGATAACGCTCTGTTGTCCACGCGTAACTTGAAGGGAGCACTCCCCAAGGATGCACGGTGCTTTTCCACGAAGGTGACTACTGTAAACATTTCTGCTTTTGGTGCACCATATTTCATCTCAGTGTCACTCAAGACTTTGCTGCCATATGCAATGGGACGGAGAACCGTTCTTCCATTCCATTCTTGTTCCTGATGCAATACTCCTGAGATGGCTACTACCGACGTGTCTGTGTCAAGAACATACATGCCATCTTCTGTAGGCATGCCTAATACTGGCGCTTTGCACAGTTCCCGTTTTATGTTCTCGAAGGCAACCTGTGCTTCATCGTTCCATTCGAACTTCTTTCCTTTGTAGCGCATCAGCCTCTGCATTGGGTACACCTTGTCCGCATATCCTTTGATGAATTCACGGTAATAATTGGCAAACCCTTGGAAGCTCATTAGCTGTGTCTCCGTTATCGGAGCCTTCCATGTCAAAACAGCCTCTACTGCTTCCGGATCCGGCCTCACACCATGCCTGTCCACCATTCTTCCCAGGTACTTAATCGAATCCCTAATGATTTCCCATTTAGATGGTTTGCATTTCAAGCCTGCTCTTTTCATACATCCAAAGACCTCATCGAGCCGATCAATGTGGTCTTCCAGGGTCGGTGTCGCTATGACTATGTCATCCACGTAACACATCACGAGATTCCCGTACTTTTTGGTCACTTCGGTCAAAGCCTGAGCCATCAGTCTTTGAAAAGTGGCCGTTGCATTGCACAAGCCGAAGGGCATCCTCTTCCACTGGTACAATCCCAATTCGCACGCGAATCTGGTTTTCTCTCTATCCTTCTTCCGCAGAGGGACCTGCCAGAAAGCCAAACCCAAGTCCAGTGTGGTGAAGAACTTGGCATCACCAAGTTTGGAGAGGCTCTCGTCTATTCGCAGTATCGGGTACGCATCGTCACCGCGTTCAAATAGCGAAAGTAGCAACAAAATCTTAACTGCCCCCTTTCTTTTTCGCCATTACCACCCCGCAAGCCCACGGCGGTTTCGAGGGTTCTATCATGTCGTACTCGAGCAGCATTTCAATTTCCGCTCGGCACGCTTCCGACTTGTGTGGCGTCATTCGTCTCGCGCCCTCTCTGTGCGGAACGGCACCTTCTTCCAGTTCAATTTCGTGTTCGACGAAGTTACAGCAACTGATATCCGCTTTATGTTTCGAAAATACATCTGCGTTCCGATTTAAAACGTCCCGCAGTTTTTCGAAATCTCCCTCACCTATTTTCCCTTTTAACTGTTCTATCTCTGGCAAAACCGGTTTGTCAGAATCTAGTTCATATGACGAGGGGCGTTCCGGAAAATTCGAACAGCTCGATAGGCCGTCATCTGTTTCGGACTTCATTGAAAACAATTTATTAATAGATTTTAATTCATTGATCCCCTTTAAAATTTTATCGTTGTTTGCATGATAAGGACAGTCTTTCACATTATGTTTCTTCAAGTTTTGTGTCTCCTCATAGTCGGTCCTCATAGGCAAGGCGTAACCAAGCTTCTTTCCACGCTGGATTGAAACCGTGGTGTCCAGTGTGTTCAATAACACACTGACACACTGTCCGTTTCGCGTTACCGAGAAGCTCCGGCCTAAAATCACCGAACTCTGACTATTTGGATTCGGTACCAAGCAAACCTGTTTACTATCACTTAACGAATTCAAATTTCCCATTCTAAAAATTGCCACGACAGCTTGTCCTGCCTGTAGTTTTACTTTTCTATCTAAAAAAATTGGCACCTTGTTTTCATCTGTTATTGTCTTATTAATTGGTTTCTTAACATACTTCCGGTCCGGCTTTCTAATCCGTATCAGACCGTTGTTCAAGTCAATCATCACGTCAAAATTCCTGACAAAATCTCTGCCCAAGATGAATTGGTCGGCGTCGTCTAAATTCTCTACTACCAGGAAGCTCATCCATAGATCTCGTCCTTCCATGTGGAGAACTGTTATCGGTGTTCTTCCGGCTAGGTAAATCGCTCCTCGATTTGCTGCGGCCAGTCGGAGATTAGTCGGAATTAGATCTTCCCTCGTGAAGCCCATTCTTTCCCAAGTTTTTATCGGCATCACGCTCACCACCGCTCCTGTGTCTAGAAGCCCTGTGACTCCGATTTTCTTGCCATTGGTGTCGAGCAGATGTGCTGTCACATCAGCTTCGTATCCAATGTGTACCGCGTCTTGTTCCATCATGGCGTCATGGCCTATCCTGTGGACTTTGAGTTCCTCCTCCCCCAAATAGATCTGTCCTATTTGGTCACTATCTGTTATCACGTAAATTTTAGTATAGATACTGATTCCATCTACGTTCAGCATCACTTGGTACGGCCCATAGACTTCCACGTAGTTTCTTTATGCGAGGGCCACCCGTTGTTAGTAGTGCTCGCACAGCTCTCGACTCAGTGCGTGGCTCTACCTGCCTCAGATAATCTGCATATGTGTCCAAATGCATCAAGGTGAACTCTGATGATTCACTCAGATTTCTGATTACTTGGTGTCCAGTCACCGAGATTATCGACTGTATCTTGCTTCCTTGCGGCACCATGCCGAACCTCTTACCGGAGATCACATTAAGTTTCATGCTCAAACTGCTTGGTGCTTTTGTCTCTTCGACCTCCGTTGCTTCGAAGGTATTCAGTTGCTCCTGTAGTTTCTCATTTTCCAGTTCGAGTTTCACTTTTTGTTCGATCTCTTTCTTCACCAGCTCCTGTTGCACTCTGTTTATAGCATCCCTCGCGGCTGCCCTATAATCAATCTTGAAGTCATTGGCCGCAGTCGCTGGTTCCGGTTCACATGTCTCTTCAGTTACCGCTTGCATTTTCTTCGTCGCCAGCTCTTGCTGTTTGTCTTTTCTGCGCGCCTCTGCTTCACTCAACAGGCGAGCCTTGCTGGCTTTCACTCCTGACAACGCTTCTTCATGTCTTGGATGTTTGATGTCTGCCACTGCATCCCAGAATTGCGGACAATCCGATTTAAAATGACCTTCCAAGTTGCAAAAGAAACACCTCGGGCCGAATTTTGCAATTACTCCTCTCATGAAATCCTCATGGTCAACTTCTGACGCATCTTCGTCCTCGAAGCTAAAGCCCATCGCTTTCATGCCTTGTTTGTAAGTTGGGCATGCTGACACATGATGGTCTGTTTTACTGCAATTGGCACAAGAGCTTCTCTTGTCCATATCATCCCTCGGTTTGTACCAGTTGTTCCCTTGGTTTGCTGGCCCATTGTTAAAATTGCCATAGTTGTTCTTATAATAACCAGATCTCGAAGGAGGTTTCAATAAAAGACATTCTTTTGACTTGAGGCTCAACTCCTCTGGTGTTGGCGCATTGGTTGATAGTGGTGTGTAATGCGTTGCCAGCATTGTCCGAAGTTCATCATTCTTCACACCATCGATGAATTTTGAGGCTACTGCCAGGTTGATCCTTCGGTTTGACTCATCCGGTTAGCTGCGTCTTCTCAGCATTTCCAAGTCGTCTAGAAACTGTCTATCGTTTCATCCTCTCGTTGCCTCCTTTTCTCGAAGCGCATCATCGCCTGGTGCCCCTGCACCCCTGATCCAAAACGGTTTAACAAGATTTCGAAGATTTTTTTGGCTGTGTCACGCTGATATTGCTTCTTGGCCATGACACAGTTCAGGGCTGTTCCTTCCAAGTTACTGGTGAGCGCACTGCACTCTTGCCTTTCCGACCAGTCCTCTTCCTCGAAATGCAGTTTCATTACCTCTATCCAGGTATCAATACAGCCATCAGATTCGTCTTTATAGCATCTTGGTTTCTTAAAGACTCTTCTGGACTTCTCACTGCGTTCATTGGTTCTGGATAATCTTGTGAGGAATGTCTCCAAGACCTGTTTAGTGGTTCAAAGGCTGTGGCCATTGCCGTAGCATCCCTTGAGTGCCCTGCCTGAGTATCGTCACCCCTTTCTAATGGTTCTCTATTTGGTGCATCACTACAAACCGAATCACCGCGACTATTTCCTCCTTGGCCCACATGAACCTTTCCTGGGCTGGCATTTCTCCTGTTACTGGAATCACCTCTCCCAGTTGCATGTGTGCCTTATGTCGGTCTTTCATTCGAGGTCTGTCTGTTCCCTGTTGAACTTGCCCTACTGTTCTATAATCCCTTGTGGTATAGCTTGATGAGCTGTCCCAGCCTCTAGTGGATCCATATGTCCTTCTCCTTGATGGTCATTGAAGTTCACCTTCGGTTCCCTGCTGGGACCTCCCGAATTCAGTTCCCCTTCTCTTGGTTCTCTCCTGCCTCCTAGTAGCCCGTCCAACCTGTACATGATAGCCTGAGTTCGCCTCTCCATCATCGCATCTAACTTTGTGTCAAGAGTCCCAAGAGTCTGCTCTTGTTGCGTTCTTAACTTCTCCATATCTTCCCTTACGCGTAACTCTCTCTGTTCCGCTTCTCTTGTCATTCGCGACAAATTCTTTGCTATGTGCTCGTCCGTTCTTTCTTTCAAGCGCTTTTCGCTCCTACCTACTTCTTGTCTATTTCGGTTTATTTCTTCCCGCAAACTTTCTCTTTCAACGTGGACCGCTCTTTCTAGTTCGCTCATCCTTGTGGACATCTGTTCGTTTTGATCTCCTATACTGCTCACTATGTTGTTCATGGCTTCTTCTAATGATGCCCCGTTTTCCACTAGTGGCGTCACTAGTGGTGGTGTCACCCTGTCTGTCCCAGGCAGTTTTGTGCTGGTCGAGATTCGGGCTTTGATTCTCTGACTCGACGTTTTTTCATCATCCATTTCTGGTTCCGCCGATGCGTTGCCTAGCCGTATGTTTCTATTCTCCCCAGTTCGCGTCTCCAAATTTGTCATATTCACAAAGTCTCTTGACTGGCCTGATGTGTTTGTGTCTTTACTTATCGTTCTCACCACACCAAATTTGTCTATATTTCCAGCCCCTCTGTTGATGTATGGCTCATTCTCCTGGGTTGAACTATTGAGGCTGACTTGTGATCCAAAATCCACTTGCTAATCATCGTCCTCTTCCTCCTCCCGCGATTCACCTTCATTTCCTGTGCCCACTCCCATGGAGAATGGAAATATGTTCCCCAAAGTGTTCTTCATTCTTTCTGTGAACGATGAGGACGTAGTCTGTTTCTCCGTCACATCTGCCATCATGGTATTGTCTGTGGGAGATCTCCTAGTCGTCACAATTTCAGTAGAGATGTCGGACAGTTCCGACATCTCCTCTCGGTCCAGTGTTCCGGTGGAAGTGGCAAAATCATGGCCTTGTTCTACCGGAGTAGATTCACTCGCTAGCCTTCTGTTCCCTCTCCCTTCCGGCCCATGCATTTCTTCATTCCCGTGCATGGCCTGGTCCGGATGGACCTCCACTTCTAACATAGTTTTTTGCTCTTCTGAGGACTTCGGACTCCTGGTTTCAACCATTCTGCCTGAAACCATCTTCCTTTTGCCGGTCCGTGTTCTTGTGATCCGTTCCACAAAAGGATCAGTCATTGATTTTCTTTGCTCCTCAGATATGAATTTCCAAGAGCTATTACCTCGTTTGGGTACTCTTGACTTGTCTAGAATCATTTCCTATCTGTACCTTCTCAAACCTATGTTCTCAATTCGATTTCTAGTGACCTTCTAGTCTGACTATTGATAATAACAACACAACAAAATAAATTTCACAAATTTTTTTTATTAAATAGTGACCACGAATCCCTGTACGTTATCAGAATACAGCTTGTATATAATTTATTCACATTGAGAACTAGCACAATATGATGATATCAGTCAATTTAAAAGATAGTGTACTCACTATCCAATCTAGCACAAATTATGTTGATTTAAAATCAAAAATAACAGACTAAGAATATTTCTGTGAAAAACGTATGTGTATTGTACTTCAGTCGACCGCAGTACAAAAGTCGAACTTGTATTTTAAAGAAAAAGCTTTCCCTGCTTGGTGCTGCACCAAACAGACAAAACTTTGAAGGCAGTAATTTTCTCAAGTGGCGTCTATTGCACCCATCGAGTACTGTGTTACCTATCTGCCTTCGGACTGCCCGAGCTAGACCTACTAAAACCCTCAGGGCAGTCACTCTTCGCAAAAACGTATTGAGTTTCAATCTACACCAGTGAGTTACACTCTTTTTCAATTTAGTTTTAGTGTTGCGAATATCCGAGGTCGGACCTGTTTTGTTTTGGTCTGGTCTTCTTTGAAAGGCAAGTTACCAGTGCAGTCACTGGTTCCTAGCCTGTCTCTTAATAACCTAATACCACTCATTATTATCTTTTCTTCTGTTTATCTAGTCCTTTGATAAAAAAAATATCTCTCCGGGTTGACAAAAAACAGTACCCCTCCGGATTGGCAAAAATAGGACCCTTCCGGATTGGTAAAATTAATACCCCTCCGGATTGGGACACCTCTGAGTTAGTAAATTTAAGACCCCTCCGGATTGGGACCCCCTCCGGTTTTGTGAAAACAAGACCCCTCCGGATTGGGACCCCTCCGAATTGGAAAAAAAAATTGACCCCTATGGATTGGGAGCCCTCTGTTTTTGTAAAAGTAGCTTTTAGGAGTTTTCCTTGATTTCAACCTATACCCCTCCGGATACGTTCTGCGATGCTATTATGCTGTTTGAATTAACTGGCAAGGGTATATGATCCGTTCCTAGACCCCTCCAGATTCAAGTTAAGCCTCTTATTTGACATTTCACGCTAACGGTGAAGGGTCTTATCGCTTGCCTAATTTCGGCTCTATTCAGGTCTTCTTGTGCCTTTAGCCTTCCCTTTTTGTCTAGAACAGTCTAAAGCTACTTAATTCAATCGCTAACACCTTTTGGTAGGGGTTTAAGGGCTCTCCAAAAAATTTTTCATAAAACTTGAAGGGTATATTATCCCTAATTTGGGAATTTGCTTGAAAACAATCGCAAAAATTTTTCACACTTGCTTTTTCGAATAATTCTTGTTCCTACTAGTAAGTTCAGCTAATCTCTGATCTAAAGGTACCAAGATCAACTGGATCTGTCCAGTCGTTTAAAAGTTATTAACCAAAACGTCTCCTTCCAAACTCAAAAATTTCAAAAAATTTTCTGATATTATAGTGTTTCGTACTGTCAAAAATTGAGAAAATTTGGTTTTTTGTACTAAAATAGTTCCAACCACTTCCGATCTAAACTTAACCAGTTCTATCTAATATAGTAGTGCAATTACGATGTAACACACTAATTTAACGCTTTTTCTATTTAAAAAAATATCGATATATCAAAAATCGCGATTTGTGGGGCGGATCAAAATATCGCTATTTTGACCCTAAAAACCGGTCTGCTTTCTGTGTTTTTCACTGAAAAACTTTATAGGAGTATTAATATAGACTATATAAGTAATAATATTAGTAATACTATATCCCTCCGGGTTTGTTTAATATCCGAATTAAGGTGCTTAACTCGGATAATCGCAGTTCGGTGAAGGGTCACTACAGTGCAGCACTGTCGAGCCCCCCACAGATTCCTATCTTACTTTTTGTACCAAAAGGGATACAAAACTTGTTAACGATACCCAACAGTCGATTGTTGTTGTCGTTGAGCCCCTTCTTGTTGCTTCTTGTACTGCTTGCCGGATCAGTCTTCTCCCACGACCCTTCCGAATTTAGCGCAAAACAGCAGACCCTTCCGGATTGAGCGCAATTTATCACTAACGTGCTTAAATGCTCAAATAACCCTACAGTACAAGGCTCACAAACGGGCCACAAAAATTGATCGTAACGATCCTGACTGATATAAATGCCTGTAATAACAATATATCTATCCACAACAATTGGGGGGGTCGGATCACATCTTGTCTGGGGGGATGATTTCTACTGATTTATTACTTTATTACTGTTTTAGGTTTTTTCGGTTTTTTTTAAAATATTTTTTGTTTTTCTTGGGTTTTATACTACTTTATGTTTGGTTTCATATATATCTCTAAGTGTTTTTGGTCACAAACCAAACAGGGATTGAGGGGACGGCCGATCCTCCCACCCTTCCTGGTTCGTGAATTTTTGGTCTTAACTAGGTTAAAAAGCTATTCAAGGTAATCCGGAAGGCTTCCGCGTTCCGAACCACCCTTCCGCCCCGGCAGTTTTGGCCTATTAAGGGCGTTAATGTGAGCATCCGCTCGTTAACGGTTTTGCCGGTCATGATGCTAAAAAAGAATAACACCCAGGAGCGCCATAAAAACATCTATGTAACATTCGCCCGGAAGATACATTTCAACGGAAAAAAGAGCTAGGTCCTAAGACGACTGGCCAACGTCTAAACATAGCTTTACATGTTTTTCACCGTCTCTACCAAAGCCAGTTCTTTTGGTGGTATTTCTAACATCGGGTCGACAAAAACGTTACTGTTCTCCGGCTTCGACCAGAACGCTCAAATTAACTAGATTACATGCAGAAATAGTGAGCTCATGGCTGGGTCTCAGTATCCCCAGACTACGAGGTCACTCCTAAAACAGGGCTACTGCTATTTATTGAATTATTATTGTTTTTGTTCAGTAGATAAAAATCATCATCTCCATCGAAGATGGATCAACCTTTTCCCCCAACTCCTAGCTTCTCATCCTTATCAAAATGAATTCAGTTGTTAATTAAATTCAATTCAGAATATAATAGATAAGCAAAAAGTTTATATAAGATAATATAAGTTCCAGTCCCGAGACCCCTCCGGATTCCCGAATCTGGGGAAATAAGAGTCTTATCTTCCTCCCTGAAGGCTGTCCTCCACCCTTCACCGTTGTTCGCAACGTTCTAGCAACTATTGTAGCGACATAATAGTTGCAAATCGGAGCGGTCTCTGTCACTTCTGTTTTTCTTTGATTCCGAGCCTCGGTTCTTTTGTTGTTATCTTCGTCGCAACTAATGTTGTTTTGTTGCTTTTCGGTTTTTCTGCAAAAATGGCCGTTTTTGATGTTACTGAGAAATGCTACGACATCACTTCGAAAATTTAAAATTTAGGAATTTCCGAATCCTTCAGCCTTCACGATTTGTCCAATCGTTTTAATAACGTTCTTGTTCCTTCTCAATCGCCAATTCGGAAGGTTCGCTGCTAAATACTTGAAATCACCGAATCTACA